ATATATATATATATATATATATATATATATATATATATATATATATAATTTTCTTTACCCATTCATTCATTGATACACGATTCCACACACATACATATCTTGTCTACTGTGAAGAGTGCTGTAATAAATATCATACTGATTTTATTTATTTTTGGATATATATTTAGTAGTGGGACAGCAGGATCTTATAGCAGTTCTATTTATTTTTACTTTTATTTTTATTTATTTTTTGAGGAACTTCCCTACTTTCCATAATGGCCATACTAATTTATGTTCCACCCAGCAATGTATCAAAGTTCTCCTTTCACCACATACTCACCAGGATTTGTTATTTTTTTGGTAATTTTCATAATAGAAATTCTAACTGGGATGAGATGATATCTCTTTTTGGGTTTAATTTGTATTTTGCTGATGATTAGGAATGTCAAGCATTTGTTCACTCATATACTTGTTGACTGTATATCTTCTCTTGAGAAATCTGTTCAGGTTATTTGTTTCTTTCTCAATTGTTCTTATTAGTAAATTATAATTGTGCATAATAGTGGCTTTGTTATGAGATATTTATACACACATAATTTGTTCCATTGGATTACTTAGGTTTTTTTTTGCTTTTGAGTTGTCTGCAAGGATATTTGTTTGAGTAAGGTCCTACATTTTATATTACTAAAAATTTCTGAAGGGCATGCTTCATATCTTTGTTCCTCAGGCTATAGATCACAGGATTTATGAATGGGGTTCCTACAGAATAAAACAAGGTAACAAGCTTCTGCATTCCAGCTTCATGTTCCGATGTTGGGCTCAGGTACATGACCATCACTGAGCCATAGAAAAGTGAAACAACAGTCAGATGGGACCCACACGTGGAGAAAGCTTTTCTTCGCCCAGCTGCTGAAGGAACTGTCAACACAGCTCTAAGGACCAGAGCATAGGACCCCATGATGAAAAGAAAAGGGATAAACAGGAGCAGAGAACTTAGGATCATCCAGAGGAATTCCATCACTGGGGCTCTGGTACAGGTGAGGGCTAACAGAGGACCTGGATCACACAGAAAGTGGTCAATAATCCTGGATCCACAGAAAGACATCTGGGAAATGATGGTGATAGGGACTGGGAACCAGAGGAAGCCAAGTATCCAGCAGGTGGCCACAAGGATGTTGCATAGATGCCCAGTCATAAGAGTGGGGTAGTATAGGGGCCTGCAGATGGCAAGGTACCGATCAAATGCCATCACTGCCAGGAAGAAGCATTCTGCAGAGCCCAAGGAGAAGAAGAAATAGAACTGCAGGAAGCACCCAGAGAAGGAGATGACCTTGGTGTCAGACAGGAAGTTGGCCAACATGTTGGGGACTGTGGAAGTGACATACCAGATTTCCAGGAAGGAGAAGTTGGCCAGCAGGATGTACATGGGGGTGTGTAATCTCTGATCCCAGTGCACGGCACAGATGATGGAACCATTGCCCATGAGGGTCAGGAGGTAGACAGTGAAGAAGAGCACGAAGAGGAGGATCTGCTCCTCCCTGGGGCCAGGGAAGCCCAGGAGGATGAAACCAGTGATCTTGCTGGAGTTGCTGGGGGATCTGAAGGTTTTCATGGTCTGTGGACAGTAAAATCACCTGCAATTACTGAATATTCTAGGAATAGCAGTGGGGCTTTTATTCTAAATAAGAAACCTAAAATTATTTGTTATTAAATTAATATTTATGGAGTATTTACTGTTTGCTAGGTATTTCTTCTAAGTACTGAGAATATAGCAGTGAATAAAGCAAATTAAAATCCTTAGTTCATGTAGCTGTCCCCAGTCATGGCTCTTTTTCTTTCCTTTTGAACTAACTATACTAGTTCAGCTCTTTTCTTGGTCAACACCTTTATAAAAGAGATTTTTGCTATGTCAAGGAACAATGCTGTGATTGGAGATATATAAAATTCTTGCATTTAGAAGGGCTTATAAGTTTTTAAAAATGAAATGGATAAGTATACTTCCTTTCTACTTTGTGAACAGTCACCTAATTCAGCTGCTTGTTGGCCTTGATGATTTAGGGAACAAAACTGTGGGACATTTGCATTGGGTTGTAGTTCAGTGGAAGAGTGTTCACCTAGGAGGCATGAGGTCCTGGTTTGATCCTCAGCACTGCATAAACAAAACAAGAAAGAAAAGAATATGGGACTTTTAAAATTGATGAACTATAGTTGTATACAATGATGGGATTTGTTGTTACATATTCATACATACACACAATATAACAATATAATTTGGCCAATATCACTTTCCACCACTTCTCCCCTCCCTCCTTGCCTATGGGACTTTTGATGCCACCTAAAATATTATTGGACAGTGGCTGTATCTAAACTAATTTGTGGATTCATTATCTCTAATATTATTATTATTTATGCATATCATGAGTGAATTATCAAATTTACTGGGAAATACTACCTGAAAAAGTAGAGCTTAAGATCCCCTGAATAGATAACCTGAAACTTAATAATATTTTTATTACTAGAAGGATGAATAATAGTTAAGTAATATTTGAGGACTCTTTCTCCTTTCCATTTCAAATATTGTCCCTCTTCTCTTTCTCATATCCTTCATCATATACAACCCAGTCATAAACCCTAGTGGCTGTTTCCAGAATGTGCCTTGACCCATCTGCTTATCTCTCTGCACTGCCACTGCCTCCTACCCTGAGTTCAAGCTACCAGTATTATTTCTCCAGATCACTATGAAGGCTTCCTGAATGATCTATCTGCTTCTTTACTGCCCCTTCTCTATACAGCAGCCACACTGACCTTTTAATAGTATAGATCAGATCATGTCATTTCTTTGCATAAAAACATTTAGTACCTTCTTCAATCTACCATGAAATTCAAGCATTGTTTTGTGGTGCATGAGCCCCTGAATAATCTGGCCTCTGCCTATTTCTACTAACTACCTCCCTTCTTTCTCCCTCTTTCCTGGTCTGCCTTCCTTTTTCCCATTTCTTCAGTTACATGGGTCTTCAGTCCCAGAATAAACCAAATCATTCTCTGACCAGGTCTGGAAATTTCATCTGGAGCTCCCTCTTCAGTTTTTGTCCCAGGTATTCTCTCCTCAGGGAGAGCTTTATTGAACACCCAATGTAAGCTTCTCTGCCAATTCTGTGTTGGTAACTTCCTATGTATTTTCTTTCTGAAACTTATCAAAATCTGAAATCATTTTATAATCTTTTTATTATCATTTATTATATTTACTTATTTGTCTGCTTTGTTTGATGAATTCATTGTTTTATTATAGTTTCTAGCACACATTGGGTGTTCAACAAATGGTTGTATAACTGAATAGTTCTGCTCTCTCTTTATTAAAAATATTTTTTCTTACTAGAAAATTTTTATCATAGAAGCTTTGGATAGTAAGCATGCATAGTAAGGAAGATAATAAAAACCCATTAAAATATATATTAATAAAAGAAATTTTGCTAAAGTATGTTCCAAGCCTTAAAATAATATATGAAAGTGATTTTTATAACACGTGAACCTAATAACAAACAAAAAAGATGGGTAAAGGTTTCAGGAATGTGTAATTTAAGAAGTCTGTATTTTCTGAAATTAATAGAGTGCTGATAGAGATTTCATCTGAAAGGGCATTATGAGAGAGAGAATTTTCTTGCTAGTGAAAACCATTCCATTTTAGCATATTATTTCTCCAACTTGACCATCTGAGTGTGAATTCTGCCTCCACCTCTTTCTAGCTGTAGATATTAAGCAAATTATTGACCTTTTAATGCTTTGGTTTCCTTTTCTGGAAAGTGGAGAGAGTAAGAGCTCTGCTTACATATGGTATTTTGAGATTAAACAAATAATATCTGTCAAGTGCTTGACATCCAGTTAGTGCTATATAGCCCTCTTTCCAATTGTATAAGCTCTTTCTTGAATTCCTTTGGCAATAAGTATCATCCATTGATGGCAAGTGGTAGACAGCTGTGATACACTACAAGCAGTGCTGCATTGAAAGATGAAGCCCTGGAATTTGGATTTCAGCACTTACATTGCCTAATTATAGCAATTCTACAAGCCAATTATTTATTGCTGAATGCTTTCCTCAAATGTCTAGTGGAAATAATAATGCCTTCCCAAGGTGTTTTTATGAAACAAGGTAGAAACACTTTGTCAATATCTGACAGACAATAAATAGTAGATGTTTTATGTAAAACTATGGTAGAGTTAGCAGGAGACTCTTTTTCCCCTCAGAGGTATAGATTCTCCAGTTGTATGTTAATATTTTCTCTCATTTAATATTACATTACCTTTTTTTTTCCTGAAGCAGAAAAGAGAATCCCAGGTGAAACTTCTCAATCAGCTTCTTGCAGGGCTTTTCTGGGACTAGGGTAGTTGTCTTGTCATAAACAGCTGGGAGAAGGTGTGAAAATAGGTTGGGATGAAAATCTCTGAGTATATTTGTTGTAGGATCCTGGAATTATAAGCAGAGCCTGACCTTTGCTCCTTGGGAATTCATTTACTAGAAGAACAGTATCAAGAGACAGCTTTCTACTAGTTATTCCCTTGCTGACTTCCATTTTTCTCTGCAGATCCTTGTGCCTTCATTTCTGCTTTGATTTCCCCCAGTTGTGGAGGAAGTAATACTTATTTTACTGGGTTTAAATCTCTCAGTGATGCCATCAATAGATTTGTCAATCACTCACCAAACCTGTTCAGAATATTTATCATATGCTCAGTGTCAAGCAAAATACATAGAAGGTGTCTGTATTGCAGGGATTTATTTATTTATTTTTGGTCTTTTGATGAGTCAATTCAGTTGTGGATTCTGAGGACATATTTTCCATCCTTAGCAGGAAGAAGAGATGGACTGGGAAGTAATGGACCCCAGCCAAAGGAGCTGCATATTTTCAAAAGGAATCCCGCTATTTTCAGACCACTATGGTCTGCTCAGTGATCTTCCTCTCTCTTCTTTCAGTTAGAACTTCTGAGTCACAACAGTTCCACTGAGGAAGCCTGCCTCTCATGAAACACTTAGCAGGCCTGAAGATACTCAAGGGGCCACTCTGTAGCAATGTACTGAGAAGCTGCCATTGGATTCAAGTTTTCTTCATCACCAGCAAAGGAGCAGTTTTTAAAGTACAACTCATAGTCTGTCCCTTCATCTTCCTTGAAGGAATTTTTATCTTAAATATTATAATTTCCTCAGGCCATAGCATTACACTCAAAGTCCTGGGCCTAGGGAGGGAGGCCCCTGCAACACAGCATCATTGTCCTGTTTTGCGTCTTGCCTCATATTTTCCTACACTTATGTCCTATGCTCCAGCCATATTTAGGCACATGAAAATTCCAGTCATCTATTTGTTGAGTGAATCATTTCACCCCATGAAAGGGATGAAAGAACACCCTCATTTCAAAAGGAGTCTCCTCCTCTGTGGAGTAATAACCCAAAGAGCTGAATTCAGGTTAATTCCATACAAGACTATCCATGTGTTGCTATGCTTGTTTTTCTTCTTTTGCCTTTTCAAACACTTTTAGTCCCTCTGATTAGATTTGGGAAATCATCGATATTATGAGCAGGTACATAATTTGGTGAATAGTACATCGTGTAGACTTAGGCATCTATTCACCATAGATGTACATTTCAATCAAATTTCAATAATCCTTTGGCTTGAATTTGTATTTCTGGTAATGATTATGTAAAAATATATCCCTTGCAGAAGAACTTGTCATAAAAATGTTACAAGACAACATCAGTGTTAACCAAACCTTCAGAAGAGCTGATAAAGTTCTATTTACATAATATTTTTCCTATTCATTTATATTTATAGTGAGCTACTTGAAAGGCAAAGATCAAAACATTTGTACACCATAAAATACTAGTGTTAGTAATAGCAGACAAAGTTCAGGGTGTAAATAACTTCTGATTCTCTTTTTGTTCATTGTGAGTTTACAGACTTCAATAGTTGAATTCAATGATTAGCATGAGCTCAGATCAGATACTGAAAATAATTTTTAATTTTTTTCTATACAAAAAATGTTTAAAAATCTGGTATAGAGTCTGATAAATACTTGCCATTTCAAGTTCAATGATTCTTATTCCATTCTATTATTTATTTCTACTACAAGGCAGTTACTTTAATTTTTAAAATATTGAAGTTTAACTTAGATGATAAATTTATATTCACGGAATGGTATAAAAGTTATTCATAGAAGTCTATAAAAAGAATGACTTTGTTTTTTACTTTAGAAACTTGATATTTTCAAAAGTGTACCAACATTTGAAGGTTTACTTGATTTAAAAAATGGCCAGTTTTTCCCAAGGCCAACATCATTCTAAATGGAGGAAAACTGAAAGCATTCTTTCTAAAAACAAGAACAATAAGGGATGTCCACTTTCATCACTTCTATTCAACATAGTCTTTGAATCTCTAACCAAAGCAACTAGGCAAAATAATAGAATAAAAGGGGTATGAATGGGAAGAGATGAGACTAAACTAGCTCTATTTGCCAATGACATGATTTTATATTTAGAAGACCAAAAAACTCCAACAGAATATTTCTAAAACTCACAAATTCAGCAAAGTAGCAGGATATAAAATTAACACTCATCAATCAATTGCA